ACTAGAAAGAAAAAATGTCAAATTTGTAAACCAATTAGATCTAATTAAATAATATTAACAACAAGTTTTTTTAAAAATCAGAACAGCAAAAAAATAAAATAGAAGATTTAAAAAAGAAAATTGATTAATTTAAATCTGAGAAACTTGAACTTAATTCTATAGTTGCTATAGAATCTAGTACAACTAATATATCAGAATCTGAAAGTTTGTAAGTTTAAAAAAGTGCTGAAAAATTCAACTTATGAGAAGTAGTGAAGAGGCAAAACTGATAAAACCAGTTATTGAAGATGAGCTAAAACCAGAAGAAGTGAAAGTAGAAATGAAGACCTTAATAAAAACCATTCTTGATAAATATAAACTAAGGATAAACAAAGTTTTTTTGAATGATATGAATAAAAAAATAATACAAAAGTTGATATCCAAATTAATAAAATCCAGGCCCTATATTTTAATCCCTCACAAAAGCAAATAAACAAATGGTTAGGTATTTTATATCACCATTAGAGAGGATAATATCGGAAGGCAGAAACTGGAAAACTAAAAGTGGACAATTGTAACTTACATATAAATAGCTAGTTAAATGAAGTAAAATTAATAATATTTTGCATTTATACTACCTTAAATATTAATTTTTAATGAATAATTAAGAAAAGAGTACAAAAAATTAAAAACACATAGTTGTTTGTTGAACAAAGATTAAAAAAAGTTGTTAAATATTAGAATGGATTTACTGATATAATTAAAGAAACAAAGATGCATTCATCTGAAAAAAGTGAGACTAATCTAGAAAACTCCATTAAAAGAAGAATAAATATACTGTATATGACATTCTGAAGAGGTATTTTTCAATAAAATATTTTATTACAAATAATTACAATATTAATTATAATTACTTATAATTAAAGGATTTGTTAAAATATTTGGATGAATATTCAAAATCAATTCAAACATTCCAGTTAACTTGTAAATGATATTGTAATAATTCATATTTTTATGATGCCAAATTGGGTATACAGTTTGGAAAAAATTTCAGAATGTGAACAAGAAAAAGAGACAAAAAAAGATAAAAAAAATTGATAATTAAATTCAAAAGATGAAAATTTATTGAATATAAGGAATCATTAATATATTCAGAGGGTAAGAAACAAACTAGGGAAAGTATATGAATGGGCAAAATTTGAGAGATAGTTAGGTTAAAAGAAAAAAGTAAAAAATCTTGAAAAATATTTGGCAAGGTAAAATCAATTGGGCTAGTTTTAAAAGAGTTAAGTTAAAATATTTAAAGGAAAAAGAAAAGCAAGTAGAAAAGAAGAAAGAGGAGGAAGAGAAAAATGACAAATAATTTAGTCAATTGATTTTATAATTTTTTAATAAATTTTATAAAATTTGAATTTTTTGCTGCAATAATTTTTTTGTCAAAATTTTTTGCACAGTATCAATTTTTTATTGAATTTTTTTCCATAGTAATTTTTTTTGTTAAATTTTTTGTCACAATATTAATTTTTTTGTCAAATTTTTTGTCACAGTATTAATTTTTTTATTGAATTTTTTATTGCAGATCAAATTTTTTTGCTGAATTTTTTATCACAATATACAAAAAATTTTTTTTGTTACAGTATGCAAAAATTTTTTTGTTACAATATTGCTAGATTTTATACTAAAATTTTTTTCACAATATATTGATATTTTTTTTCTGATTTTTTGTTAATATTTTTAATGCTGAGTGATAACAATTATAAATAATTTATTAATATTTTTAATATTAATTTGTGTCATTTTCAACAATAATTCAATAGTCAAATGACATAACTTTATAAAATTTTTTATTGACTTATTAATATGAAAATATTATTATTATTTTTTTTTTAATTCTTTATTAAATTAGATAAGTATATTTTATTAAATATTAAATATTATATATTATAAAATATTTGTTAAAACCAAATCTTTATCTAATTTATATGTCTTTATTTTATATTTTTTCTAAAATTCCTAATACAATTTTGAAAACTTTATTAGTAAATGAATATTAATATTTTTTTATAATTGTAAATAAATATTTTAATTTGTTTTTTTTTTCTTATAAAATAAAACAAACTTATTAATTTTTCTAAATTCAAATATTATATTGCTTGAAGTTATATATTGTTATATTATATTACAACTTATTTTTTAGAACTACAACTCTTTCCCATAGATCTCTAATCATCATTTCCAAAAAAGCATTTCTCCAAAACTTCATGTTTTAAAAATAATAAAACTTCAAAACTTTTCCTAAAAATATCTGCTTCGATTAGCAGTAATTATACTCTACCCTTCTTATTTACCTTTCCTCTTTATAAACTCCCTTCTAAGAAGTCAATAGCAAGAAAGCTTTTCTAGGAAGAAGAAACCAGACAAAAAAATACTTTCTCTCTCTTTCTTATGAAGGATTCAAAGTCTATAAAGAAGTTTGTACCAATAACTCCATATCAGCTGGCAAGCTGACATCAATACCATAGACAAAAATGATTTTTCTCTTAGTATATAGTAATTTTTTTTATTTTTTTGAAGAATTTTATCTACTTTAGCTTAACCCTGAATTTTTTGTTATATCAAACTCTGAATAAATTGATTAATAAAGTCTGAAATTGGTTGCTCTATGTTTAGTAGAAATATAAATAAGGATATACATGATATCAAATATGAATATATTTTTTAAGCTCCATAAAAATCTTATGTCTATCATAAAGCACGAACTAGTTATATAGATGAATAAATATCATATGGACTGTGATCTTCTCTTTCTCATTAATCCCAAAAGTGTCAAGACTATAAATTGAATACCTTTAGAAACAAAGTTGGATGAAAGAGCTGTTGTTAGGTATCCCTTCATTTCTTCTCCTATTTTTTTTTCTTGTAAATATTTTTAATTTTTTTCCCTCCATTTTAATTTTTTTTTTTTTAACACTAACTAATCATAAGACTAATACAAGAAATCCTCAATACTAGATAGTATTAAGAATTTTAAGCAAGTACTGATATGTTAGGTCCCATCAGTAGGTGACAATAAATCAATCGGTAAGTATATTAGTATATTCTAAATAATATTGATTCCTGATTATGGAGATGGATTAGCAATGCACAACCTATGTATCTTATTTATCCTCAGTTATGTTTTCAAAAGATAAATATTTATACTCGGCAGTCATGTATTTCCTTATCCTGGTTAGGTTAGACATAGATTGAGTCATAAAAATAAATAGTTCTTTGTTCTATTTCTCTCTAATGATTCATAAATTCTCAAACAGTACAAGGAAATATTAATCCCAATTGTTGCCAAATATGATCTTTTCTTAATAAAGTATTGAAAAAGGTGTGGAATGAGCCAGTTTTAAAATAAATATAAAAAAATAAATTACAACTTATTTTTAAGATATTTTATAATACTATAATATAAAAATTTTATAAAAGTTAGATATTACTTTATAAAAAAAACCCTCGTTTTTCACTTATCCTTATTGAATTTACTAACAAGAAATTCAAAGGCGATTATATTTGTTTTTTATATTTTTATAAATTTTTTAATATCAATTATTGTTTATAGAAATTTTTAAAACTATTAAATATACAATTTTTTGTTTCATTAAATTATACGAATAAGCTAGTGTATTATTTTAATATTTTTTTTTCCAAGTCATTTCAAATATTTCCTTTAGACTCCAAATAATTTGTATGATCTTTTATTTTGATGATCTAAAAGTTCGCACATCAACTAATCAATTTAAGCTATAGAGTATATACGGGATAAAAATTCTTATCAAACGAATACACTCTGCCGTTGTGTGTGCGTGACCTATAAATGTGTGAAAGTGAAAGAAATCGAATTACGCTAAGCGGATCTGGAGTCTTTCTGACGTCATATGACGGACATTTGCTACGAATGATGGAACTTGGGTAAGTGGAATTTTGCAGTATAAAAAGAATGGTTTCTTTATGTAAAAAGAATTGAAATGAACGAAACTAATACAAATCATTTTCTTTTGTAGGAGCGATGAAAATAAGACCAAATATTTTTTTCTTTAATTATATAGGATACCACGAAATTATTGTAAAAAAAAAAAAATTAATGCACACCAAAAAAAAAAAAGAGAGAAATGGGAAAAAGAAAAACTTTGTACAATTAATAAGTGGAGAGAGAGAAGGGAAAGAAAATAATATTGTAAAAAATTCTACAAGAAGCTAAAAAATTAAGGAAAGATTTCCTTTTAAACTATTTGTGGATCATAATTAATTCTAGAAAAAAAAAAAAAAAAAAAAAAAAAAAAAGGAAAAAAAAAAAAAAAAAAAAAAAGAATAAAAAAATTTTTGTACAAGAAAAGCCAAATACAATCCTAATGTTTTATCAATGGATCATTAAATTCGATGCTGGAATTTTGTGCAAGTTATCGCATCCTAACTATCCATTGAAATGGTGTACACATTACAATTGCAATGCTAATTAATTTTTTGATATAAACAATTACGATTAGGGGCCTATCACGATAACTTGCTATTGATCAAGGATAAGCCGCCTTTTATTCGTCGTCCAAAAATATGTCATGAATGTTTGGAATCGTGACTGGAGTAACAGGTGGAGACGTTCTTGTTGGGGAGAATATGCTTTCCAGCGTAGATTTACTAAATATCACAGGACCACTTATCACCTCGTGCCCAATTATATTATTGTTTTGATTGACAACTCTTTGTGTTTTAGAGTCGAAATTATCAAAGGGTGTGAATTGATTGGATGTGATCGACGAATTGTGTGATGTGGCGGTGGACATTGATTTTGAAGTTGCAAATGTTGGGGACATTGGTGTATTGATCGTTTCCCTTGGTGAGAGTGGAGTTCGATCTGAAGAATAAGGTGACCGAGACCTGTTTGAAGCGGTTAGGTGACCATTCTTTGGCAATGGCAATGGCCTCGGAGAACTTTTTGACGGGGAAGGTGACCCACTCGATGGGGTTGTAGGCGATTCGGTGCTTGTAGGAGACACAGACGATGCGGGAGAGGAGGGGGATAGTGCGGCGGGAGAAGTGGGTGTTAAAGATGCAGTAATGACATGAAACCTTCCAGATCCGCCTTTCACAGTAGATTGATGAGATATCTGCGCGCTCAACAATCCTTCAGAAACAACAGGGGGAGTTTTCGGTGACGGTTCGGGAACAGGAACAACACTTAGTACCGGATTGTTTCTTGGAATACTACCGCTACGTCGATGGGTTTTCAGGAGTAGATCACTCTCTATACTTGAACTACGAGAATGTGATCTTATGGAATCAGGTTTGCTCTTTGTTGGCGTTCCAGGTAATGCATTACTATTATTGTTGTTGGATCCTAATTTTAAGGTCTTTTCGAAATCAACCAGTTGATACACAAGGCTCATATTTGGACTGATATAAGGGCTCTTGTTCTTCACATATTCGTACGCTTGATTAAGTGTCATACGGTTAGCCTTCATCACGTAGCCAATAACGAGAGAGGCAGATCTGGAAACACCACATTGACAGTGTACAAGAATTTTTCTGCCGGCCGAACGTGCTTCATCAATAAACATAAAAGCTGATGGGAAATCCGAGTTTAGGTTTTCCTGATTGTGAGTCCAAAAAAACTTCTTATATTTCAATGGAGTAAATTCAGAAGTTGGTGGAACGATTAGGGGAACACCGGAATGCATTAAAACCTGAGCCGACGTAGAAGTGGGGCGTGAGGCGGAAGTGGGACGTGGCGTTGAACGTTTATGAAAAGAGTTTGTGAAAATTTCGCCAAATGGTGAAGGAGGAACTATCGGAGAATCGAGATTACCGGGGGACTGTACGGCAGTTCTAAAACTGTCATCCGAAGAAACAGAATCCGACCTTGAGAAACAAGGAGAAGAATCCGGATAACTAGTGATATCTTGGTTGATGATTTCTTCTAGATACGGATTCTCAACTTCTTTGGCAACGTTCAAAATATATTCAATACCGAGTCTCTTAAGCATTTTTCTATTAGCGGCATTCAATTCGGAGCCAAGGTATAGATTTTGCATAATGAGTATTGGTTCTTCCTTGTAAGGCAACTCTTCACCAATGGCATTTTCTGTTTTTGACATCAACTCCATAGGATCAGCAGCAGGATTCGAGTTTTCTTGACCTTTATTTTGATATACACATATGGGAGTTGAAGGACGCCTATTGTGGGTGTGTGATGAAGAAAACTGTGGCAGCTGTGGTGAGCTTGGAGCTGAGATGGATGAACGAACCGGTGGAACCACCAATTGTAAATTTTTCATATTTCTGCGCCCTTTTGATGAAGGTGGACTCGGCAAAGGACTTTTCTCGCCGTTAACTGTTGCCACTGTTTTATTGTCAGGAACAACAATAGCACTGTTAGGAAAATCCTGCTTCTTTGATGTCTTGTTCACTCTCCACGGCGTCATAGTAGAAGTCTCAGCAGGAACATTAACACTGGGAGGTGCAATCGACATTTTTTTGTGCAACGGAGCCTGCGGAACCTTAAATTGCTGAGTTTCGTCTACTAGAGATGTTGGCCGTGAACCGAAAGGATATGATCTTTTCACCGCGCTGGTCATGAAATTGCTCTTGGTTCGGAGTTATCCTAGAGTGTCTGTTCTTTTTTTTTTTCTTAAAAAGGAGGTGATTCCTTTTTTTTTTTTTTCTAGTTTATGTGACTTATTGTATTTCGTGTAATGAACCACTCAGGAAGATGTAAACCTTTCTTTTTTTTTTTTTTAAAAAAAAAAAAAAAAAAGAAAGAAAGGAAGGAAGGAAAAAAAAGGGTTTCGAATTAAATGAGAGAAAAAAGTGTTATTATTAATTAATAAAAATATTAAGGAGCTATGAACAGTCCAGCTGTACAGTTTTTGCTAGAGTTGCTTGTATATCGGAAGCCTAAAGCAATCTAGAAGAGTCCCAGTATTGCGGGGTCGTAGATGAATCGTTGTCCTCAAATAAAGAGTTCTCGGCGAAAGTTTTAAGAAAGAAGTGTGAACCATGCGAATGACCAAGCGATCTACTTTTTTATGCTGTCCTTTCTAGCTGAGGGGCCGGACGAACGTGACCGAACGATTGAGGAGAAACGAGTAGCAAAAAAAAAATCTATAAAAATACATACAAATACATATATATATATTTGTCAATATTATGTGTGTATGCGTACATATAACCGAGTCGAGAAGACAAGAATAGAAAGGGTATTTTTAGTTGACACAGGAGTTTTTTTTTTTTTTTTTGAGTCAGATGCGTATGGTTTTGGGTTATGCGTAATTGTATTAGGAAAAGTAAGGGAAAACTTGTTAAGAATTGCCTGACAAATGGCGTATTCTAACAGTTATACGAAAATTTGAAGGTGGATCTATCGAGTGTCCAACCTCAAAAACCATAGCATTCAAAAAAAAAAAAAAATTCTCACAAAGTACAAATTTAGATTTAATTATTTAATTAAACAAATCGTAGAATAAAGAAATTTAACGCACAAAGACACAGGTACACGCAACAGTAGGACATTATGCTAATACATACCTTGCAGATGAATAATTACGATGATGATTGTGATTTAAAATTCGCAACCACCAATTATTGCTAACATGTATCAAATATCTTTGTCTAACGGTTTTCCAAGGAAATTAGAAAAGAGAGAGACTAAGAAAAAATTTTTAAGAGTATATAAATAAGGGAATCAATTGTTACCTTGATGTCTATTATTTCTATTTATATCATTTATTATTAAAATTTTTTTTGTTGTGTTTGTTTCAGAATTTATTATGTATAATTTTGGCGTACAGAATAGCTATCCCGTTAGCGCTGGTAAGAATTAAAATTTACAGCTAGTGTATGCAATCAATAAATTATAACGTAAAAGGCACGTAGTTTTGAAAAAAAAAAAAAAAAAAGTCGGGTCTCTATACCAGCTATTTATTGTCTTTTCGATGATTACACAATAAATAAATAGTGTTTGCCAATCCGAAAATTGATTCTATATTTTACCTGATAACAAAGCCGTCGATTACTCAACAATTGCATACGTTTTGGAATATGGCGCTAAATTTATCATCCGTTCTATAAAAATCTACCATATGACACTGTTAATGTTAATATCAAATATATGCAGCACAACTTTTAACTGCGTATGCACGTACTTATTATAGCTCAATTACTGAATAAGAATACGTAATTCAAATCTTCCCCGATACAAACAATCAAGCCAAATATACGTACGTTACTAATAATTTCTCGGCTAAATTATAGCGGCATCAACTCACTTAATATTAAACGGCTCCTAATTATAGTGACAAATGAACATTCACCACCAAATTTATAATAATAATCATCATTCAAAAATTCTTTATCCGGTATGCTCCGAACATGTCCTCCAAGATTTGTGGCACATCCCATAGTTCTGAACACGTTTTTCTCCTGCGTACACCATGCACGTTGTAGGATGCTGAATGTCAATTTTTCATTTATGTAAATTACCATTATAGCATATAATAGAAAAAAGGTCCCATAATGTAATCGAAATCCAGGTAAATTATTGGAAAAAGTTAGGCACCGAGTTAATTATAGTTAAAACTAAATTCTTTTGATATAAAAATGAATGGTTGTCGGGAAAAAGATCCATCGCAAAATAACGGGGGATCATTAGATTGCCTGGAAATCATTTCAGAAACGTTGAAGATTTAAATTTTTGCGCAATTAATTACGAGACAAAGTGTCAGAGAACGATAAATTTAGTAATTAAATGGTTTAATCTTAAATAGAATTTCGTGCATTAGTGAAATCTATTTATAATTGCTGGCTATAGATCCTATTGTTTATAATTGTTCAGTGAAAACAAAGCTGCGACTTTCTTCGATACAGTTTTTATTAAAAAAGAAATTATCTCCGAACCTGAAGTGTCCAGTCCAAATAGATTTCAGCGCGGTCGCCCCATTGCTAAAATGACCAATTGATGCACAAACTTGCTTTTGCCAAAACACTTCAAAATATGTTCTAATCCAATTCGTGTTGAACCTGTTTAGTCATTGCATATGATTAATTTTTTCAAGTTAGTATGGATTTTCTATTAATACTTGTCTAAACTTGTTTTAAAATTTATTTATTTTTTTTTAAGCATAACTTTAAGATTTTCTTATTAATTTAGATATCTATATACAGTATATAACAAAACTTTTAATTAATATTTATTTATTGTATAGGAATTAATAAAAATGAAGTTAAAAATTTAGAAATTTTATTAATATAAAATTAATAATTGATTTTTTTATCTTTTTTTTTTTAAATACTATTTCACATCTTTCTTTTATTAAAATTTTACTTTATTATTTTATTATAAATTATATTAATAAAATTTAAGTTTCAATTATTAAAAATCAATTTATAATTTTAAAAAAATTTTTTATTAAAAATATTTTTATAATTTTATTTTTATACTTTTTATTATTATATTAAAAATAAAAATTATTTTTAAGCAGACCTGTGAATCTATAGCACAGTGATAGTGCTCCCAGGTTACAATCACAAAATCCAGAGTTCAATATTATATAAAAGTCATGTGGGAAAAAATAATCATGTTGCATAAAAATGGAACTTCTAATCTTTATGTTAATTATTGAGTTAAAATAGATTTATTATGAGGATTGTATAAAAAAGATCTCTGATCTGATTGCACAATTTATGTTCAACCATCTCTCCTAAATTGAAAAGGAATTAAAAATCCCAAAATTCTACTTTAGAACTGTGGTAATTATTTGAATATTATATAACTTCTCTACCTTGGTAGTCTCCAGAATTCTGCTCTCCTAACTTGAAATATTCCAATCTAATACTCCATTTAATTGAAAGTCGGTTAATAGAAACTAATCCAATACCATAGATAATAACAAAGAAGGTGATATACCCTCTTCCAAAGTCTGAGTGAATAATATCTGAAAGTATTAAAGAATACATAATCCCTACAAGTATATATAAAAAAGGATTAGTTTAGTGTTCATAATTAAAATTATAACTTATTACTAACTAGCCTAATATCATCATTAATAATATATATTAACTATTTAATCCTTAGTTAGATATATCCATTTATAAAGTGGTAGTAGGTTTAACTAGAGCAAACTGTGATAAGTTATTATTAATCTATATATATATAAAAATATATATTTTGTATAAGATAATTGATATTATGTTAAAAGAATTCGTTTCCTTTAAATATTAAGTTAAAAAAGCTTATATTTAATATCAGTTGTGATAACTTAAAAAAAAAAAACTTATTTTTAAGCAATTTAATATTTTTTAAATTATATTTTATAAAATATTTATAAAAAAAAAAAACATTTTTAATTGATTATTTGATGTAAATTAAACTAATAAATCCATTATTAATTTATAATATCTCATATAACTCAAACAATTAATAATAAACATATACAACTATATTAAAAGAAAAAACTGTCTCTTGTAAAGAATACTTAAAGAAGGTAATAATATAATGATTGACTTAATCAAAGATAAATATCTTTTTATTTGAGTTCTATTTCTTTTATATAATACTAACTATTATCTCTATTCTTAATAAGAATTGCCTTAATATATTCAACACTATCTTCTCAGCTTACATTGATAAACTATTTATATGCTTTTTTAGTTAATAATATATTATCTATTTTATAATAGACTATATTAACTCTAAGCTTTATTAAATTTTTTATATTTTATTAAACATATATAGTTTCCTTATTAGTATTTGAGCCTTAATCTATAGTTTTTTTATTTTATAATACTCAATATTATATATCAGACTTTCATTTTTAAATTCTAATTCATTATACATAAATCATATTATTCATGTGACCTTTGATAATATATAAAAAAAATATTTGTAAAAAGTTTTTTCATTTTTTATTAACAAAATCTTAATACTTTTATTAAAATAATTTAAAATATAACTTTAAAAATTATATTTATTTTTTCTTTCTTTTTTACAAACCACTTTATTCAAAAATATAATTTTTAATAATCAATAAAAATCAAGTAACACTTTTAATATTAATAGTAAAAAAGTTTTCAAAAAAAAAACAACTAATTATAAAGTATTGAAAATCCTTTTTTTTTTTTTTCTAAACCTTCTGTCAGGCTAGTTATGTATGCTTTATTAAACAATTGTAAGCTATACATATAGCATAAATCACTAAAGCTAAAACTTTAACTAGCTCACTCATCTTAGTAATTACTCTAAGTGCAACTTTGGGAGTGATTTTTCGCTCCATTAAAAGTTCAGGTGAAGACCCTTCTAACTTTTAATATTATTGCCTGCAGGTCACTACTGCAGATCACTCTTTACAATTCTGACAGAACTCAAAACCCAACCATTTTATTCCAAATCTAATCCCTTTTAATAAGATATCTGTGAGACCTTGATCTTCTAATCTTCCTTCTTCTATTAATGGAGCTTCTTTTCTTTCTGGTGATGCAGTTTTAGGTTTTGGACCAGGAAGGCTTAGAGGTCTTTTCATCTTATCATTTCTTTGGATCCTCTGTGTTCTTTTTCATTCTATAATTTTTTCACATCTTGCAT